TCATCATGTTGTGATGTTTGTTGTTAAGAGTCTACAAGATTGTCCTTTGTGTACGAAATAATATGAGATGGACTCGCAGATATTACGTGTAATTTGAATCGGCGAAATGCAGCGCAGATGTGGCGTGTTTATGCTCATTCAGAACGGCTGGAAACTGATTTTTCGTCCGTTAATGGACAAAGGGATTATGACCACATGATCAGAGAGGGCAGGGCACATAATTCACACATATCAAAGTTGGCTGCTTTCACATGCCACGTTCACAAGTGAAACCATGCGAGTGATAATGCAATGTGACACAGTATCGTGGCTGACTATGCAATCTTCAGAGATTGTCATGTCGTTTATGTTCAGTGCCATCTACCACGGCGCACGAAAGAAATGGCATGTGAATTCCGGAACAAACAGGCGTTTCTCATTTATTATCTCTTTAGTTAAAGTACAGTATTTCTTACAGTAATCGATCAAAAGATCGTGTATAGTGTAAAGACTGCCGTGTTCTCAGCACAGCCAACAAATATCCTCACTACAGTTGAAAGTCACGCGTCTCTTTACGCCCACATATTTCTTACCAGAAATTACTCAAAGGTTGTCGGTTAAATCTAATATGCATATGCAAATTAATTTATTTTAAACCCTATTATACATGCCACCCAGATAAAATTTTATCACTGTTCTCAAAATGAGTGCCCAGCACAAGAACGATACGCAACTATTAAGAGCAATATTTTTTAATGTGGGTTATATTAAACAGAAAATCAAAACAAATCACCCTTCTTCAGTGCACATTTGTACGTATGATTAACTTCGTTAACAAACAGTTTGTATCTGCAACTAACTAAAGCAGCCTACCCATTCATCGCCAAAAATCTCTTAATATAAACTATACTTAATGATGATATTGTTTATTTTTATAATAATTACAGTTACGTGCATATTAGATTTTTAAAGAGACACGTAGAAAAATAATTTTTATAAGTGATGTAAAAAAACATCTATACATTTAACTTCTTAACTGATACATACAAGAAACAAATACTAAATTGTTCTTATTTATTTATAATTCAGGTTAAAGAAATTAAGGTATGTGACGTGTATCTTTGGTATTATTTAGTGCCGTATAAGAGCAATGTGATAAAACTTTGTAAATAACGAATAAATCGCTTTATGTATTGGTTGCCTAATGACGAAACAGCGGTCATTGTAGACTGGAAACCTCCATTTAAAAAGAAGAAGAAGAAACTGTATGAAGTGTGGGATATAAAAGACTGAGATGCAAAACACACATAATTTCAAGCGACACGCTTCAAGAAGATACTTTCGCCATATGTAACGTGCGTAACAGACGAAGCAATGAATAAATAAAAACAACACTTAATTGAAATGGCTGTCTTGTAGGTTACTGCGCCGTCAAGTCTGATAAAAGTTTACGGACGTTTCGGATGTGCCTACTGCGCTGATGATGGACGTGGTAAGCACCTCTCAGACGTCGGTAAACTACAATAATACGACGCAATAACTCAGAAGACAGCCATCTTCGTATTCGCAGTTCTGAGAACACAAAATTTTACACGGCTGTAGTTAACCTGTTATTTTTTTTCAGTTCAGTGACTGATATTTACCTGAACAATGAAAGCGTCAGTAACCGTAGACTGTGGAGGAAAGCGAGTGTTTGATATCAAAGTAGTGACCGTCCGTCCGTGTGGAAAAAGCGATTGATCGTGCCTTGTTAACACTAAACACAATTCGATCCTCAAAGTTAAAGAGGCGCGAAATGACCGGAAAAACAGGTGGACTTGAAGTAATTATAGACGCTGTCCTATCATCCACAGGTCGGTGGACCATCACCGGAATTAATCTTTTGTCCTGTGACCACCAGCTTCATAAAACGTACGCTAGGTTGAGCCACAAGGATTTCGTGCAAGAACGAACTATTTCTTCATCATAACTAGGATATCAATAACATTCACAAGATTTTTTTTACAGATCAATAATTTGCTATTACATATTGTCGAGAAAGCATTTATAGTACTTCTTTAAACAATTCGTCACTATGGTGACGTACTTTTGGAGTTCTAAAAGATTTGTCCGTTAACCCTGCCTTGTATTCGGGAGACCCCATGCACCAACTACACTTACATAGAATTACCTCAGTTTATTCTGGAAAACACCGCGTAGGATCCTAAATTAGGCCACAGTCGCTTCGAATCCTTTAGCAGGAGTATCATAACAGCTGTGTAACAAACGAATATAGTCCTATAATCATTATGCCGTAAGGTCGAAAACAGCTTATCACCGATGACACACAATAGTACACACAAGCGCGATAGACATCGCTTATTACATTTTACGTGAATTATAAAAGTAATATATATATTATATTAAAATAAAAATTCATATCCGTCAGAGTAACATGATTCAGATTTACTAAAAACAGTAATATCCGTTTCAGACCTTCTACCGCCATCCTTTGGGGCGTAACGCAGAATTATCCTTGCAAAAGTAACACAAGTCCATGATACCAGCAAGTCCTTTACAGAAAAATCCACAAACAGAATCTACTCATTCAAATGAAAAGCATTTCAAGCGTTAAGGTTTGAACATTTTATTGGATCATACCCTTAAATAAACTTAAGATTTTCCACCATGTGCAATGGAAAGGACAGAAACTCTCTTGCTGAAGGCAACACACACACGTGCGCATAATCCTTGACACGGGTGTTCAGCTGAGCGCTACGCCCCCCCCCCCAACCTATACACCATAAGCTTATTATATCTATCCATATGGGAGGAGTCGAAGCTTTGCGGCATTCAAATAACCTTAGCTCTGCAAAGGTAAGGTGTTCAAGCGGAAAACCAGGAATATGCCACGAGACCGTTTCATCTACATGCGATGCCTCATTGGAACATCACACTGGATGAGAAGCCTTTGTAAAATGTTTGTGTGGTTTGGCATGGGAGAGGTGAGGAGTTGATTTTACAAAGTGGGTAGGTTACAAGTTAAGAACGCTTGGATAAATCAACAGCAACATTCAAATTACGTATATAAACTTTTAAAATTGAATTTTTATAAGTATTAAAACTTTTGTCATTGGCGGAGGAAATGTTATGGTTCTAAAGGATTAGACCTTGTAGGTTCCAAAATATTCGCACTGTTAGTGTTTATAAACCTTGTCATATAGATTTCAAATATAATCTCACAGTAATTAATAAATTATAACTACTAAATTATCTCACGCTTTTGTGTTGTTTATAAAACTGGGGATCTTGTGCAAACGGTAAAAAGTTTTGATCCATAAATGGCGGGAAATTTCTTGATCAGCTCAGAGACTATCAGATTCTCAAGAAGAATTCTGCTCCATAAAGTTATGTAACTAAGAATTTAAAATATTTCAAAGGTTAAAACCAATATCAGACTTCCAGAAAACCATTTTGAATTCAGGTAGCGCCAACTACAAGACAACACGAGTATTATTCATATAATTTACGACAACCATCTTATTGTTACTGACGACACGCCGTTAGATTCTATAATTTATCTGCTGTTGAACTCTCTGAAATAAAACTTAAACTACAATTGAACAAAGTTTACTAAATCCTTACTGAAACAAACGGTAGAACGTCTTGGATCGAAGATCAATGTCTGACAGGCTTTCTGCATTACAGGAAAAGCACGGACGAACATCCATGCCAGAGGGGGATTCAATCCCGAAGTGATAAAAAGACGTTCATGCGCAACTTATGTGACGTAGAGCGTGATCACTTTCAACCATACTTATGAATTAACTCGAGACGGATAACCCGATTTTTATTAAATTCAATATCGGAGAACTTTGTCAAAAATTGTCTAACCATTTCAGTTTCCAGTCAGATCAGATGATTTTAACGACTACTTTAAATAGAGCATAAATACTTTTCAAGTTTAAATAAAATACTTTCGTAAAAAGTTATATAAACTGATTTTTTGCTTCAATATGAAAAATAATTTTCATAAGTATATTTTACAGCTTTCTATTGCAAACATTCAGTACACACTCTAAGTTTTGAAGCTTTAATGATTTTTAACACTTTCTTCCGGTAAAAGCGGAGATATTTGCCTAATGTTAGTCGTGTCCGCCTCCTTCCAAATTCCATTCTTAACTGTCCTGCAATTTAAAAGCAGGCTATACAACCCAATAATCACCAAAATCAACATAAATGAAGACGAAAATTTTTACTTTATCATTTGGTCTGAGCAGTAGTTCGAAAGCAGTGTTATAACTCGACTGGCACAAGATAGTCTTTCATACAGCACCGCATTTCAAATAAACCATTCTTCTGCTAAACAACGAATATATTTATAGCTCGCGTTCGGTGTCTGCTACCCTTTGTTCGTTCACGCGTCAGAAAATTGTACTTGTCTACAAACGAGACGTTCTCCAAGGGCATCAATTCTCATCAAGTGATTTACTGACTTTAGAAAATAAAGAATCAGCCATAAAATCTTTACAAAAGTGTAACTTATTGTTCCTGTGGTCTCTTAAAGAAAACAGTACCAGGAAAACTGTAGATAAAACAGCACAGTCTAAAATTACAGATTTCGTGAAGTTTCAGTCATTGGTTGGTTAATTATACTAATATTATGTTATGAATTATCCATTGTTTCAAGTAACTTACAAAATGTTTCGCAATTTGGCACAGAATATATCAAATATAACTGAGATATTAGATAACGCCCAACATAATGTTAATATAAGAATAAATTGTAGGATTTGAGGTTCTCGCGGCGATGAGTCTGAAGATGGCTGAAACGTCGGTAAACTTCTACCAGACTACACGGCGCAACAACCCAGAAGACAGCCATCCTAAGAATCAATTGCTAGGCGAATTTTAAACATTTGACATGGCCGCGTGATACATACCCCGCCCACACCATCTTCTTCGTCTGATCATCCTGAAAAAATCTGGTTGTCCCTTGATATCCTGATGTACACTGTTTATATCAACTGCTATTAGCTTACCTTGATGAGCTTCGCCATTGTCTTAGCACCATGGTAACAGGGCGGCAAACAGTCCTCGAGGCGGCCGGCAGGTAAAAACGGGACTTGCGTTGAGCTGGATGGGTAGCACTTCCTCAGGAGACTACTGGTGTTCTTCAGCTGCCCGCCTTGCATGCCACGCAGGCCCCCAGAAGAAGTCGAAGTCGTCCCCGCTCGCCTCCAAGAACTGCCACCACCACTTCCGCTTCCTCCAACATCCGCGTCACCTTCTTCGCTTCCTGCCTCCGTCTCCTCAGCCAAGGGGCTCACGGGCCGTGCCATGTTGCCGGCACTGAAGCTAGGTACCGGGAGAAGGAAGCTCTCCTGCAAAACAATGTCAACGGTCAGAGTCCCGACTCCCGACATGTCCCGTGTTGTTGGCGAACTTCTCCGAGCAGGGGTCCCTCCTGAGAAGCTGACAGTTGCATACTTGGTTAACAAATTCCCCACCTTTCATGGAACCTTACGGTCCATTGCTCTGTTCATAAAAGCCGCCAATTGGTACCTGTGGTGATGCACTAGACGCCGGAAATGCGTCTGCATCTCTTTCTACATTCGTCCGATCGATCGTACAGACGTCAGAATATAAATCATAACTGTCGACTGCCTGTAATACGCCAGAAACCTTCAAATTAACCGCACACTCGATACGACGCAGTTAATTATCGCACTAAAGTTCCGTCAAAGATCACCAGATGCGCATGCATTATCATAGACAAAATTATAATTTTACATTTTGGTAAGATAACTCTGAAGTATCAGCATAACCAGGCGGTTGACTATTCTTAAAATTAGTCATACGTCATAAAATCGTTACAAATAAAACATACTGAATGCGAAATGTGATATATAAAACGTCAAAACTGGCGGTTAATCTGTAACTTGCCTACGGACAATACATTGCAGATATACGTCAATTATATCTTCTGTATTACGTTAAATATACTGACTCATTCTCATTCACCGACTATCTATACGTCAAGCAGACGACTGACAAACTAACCATACAAGAATTCGAAAGTTTAATACTATTAAATAAAAGATTGACATTGGACACGATCCTGAGATAGTCGAACAAAGTTCATAAATTTAAAATTTATTTCCGTACATATATCAACAAACAACTCCACGTTCATAAAAGCGTTGTGAAAACACATACGGTTCTTTTAATTTGATTAGCACAGAACCAGGTCCGCGAGTCCTTCATGAAAAATTAACAGTCGCTCAGCTAGTCATGAAATTTCATAAACAGATTTCACGGTTTCGACTTGGATTTAAAAAATAAATTAATCGTTTCAGAAGTTTTGACACCTCATACCATGCTCTTGTCGGATCGAAATTAACGCTACAGGTAGAATTAACCCCCCCCCCCAACCACTTCATCACCATTATCTATTGCAACAAGCAACAGGTAACTGTGAAGATTTCTGTCTTCTGGGTAACTGTGACTTCGCCGTCACCACGGCACGAACTCTGTACCTCCATCAGTCATCACAGGCTGTACTGAAAGAGTCTGTCTTCGAAAAATAAATGTTCGCACAATATTCAGCACATGGCATCACCTTAACAAGATCTATGGTCCAACAGATGATCCGGTACCTAATGGATCCTAAAATTCATCCACCTAAAGTCCATTGTTTGTAATACCAGTGCCGCACCAGATTAATTTATTGGACGAAAACATAAATTACAATAAAGAATAACAAAGAAGGTCTGTTAGGTGTCAGGAACTTAAACTGAAAATAAACTCCAAGGAAACCAAGAATATGTTCATATCTCGTAAAAAGACTGAAGGAAAAACAACACAAAGGCAGCTAATAATCTTTAAAAAATGTGGCTAAGTTCAAATATTCGGAAAAATACAGTAACAAATCAAAATCACAAACATGATTAAATTAATGGCACATTAAACTAGGGAAATGCTTGCTACTACTCAGTTCTGTGAATTCTGTATTCCCGTCCTGTATTTAAACCAAACGATGTTCTTGGCCGTAAAAGTTATTTTTTACTCGTGCGAGACTGGGTCTCTGACCGTACGAGAAGAATACATGAAGTGCCTTTGAGATCAGGGTGTAGAGAAGAATATTTGGATCTAAGCGGAAGTAACAGGTAAGTGAAGAAAAATGCATGGCGAGGAGATTCATAATTTGTACTCTTCGCCAAATATTTATTAAAATGTATTGTGTGAGAGGTTTCTGGACGTGTAGCACGGGGATATAAGTAATGCATCAACATTCTAATGAGAATACCTTACGGGAAGAGACAAATTAGGAAGAAACCCAGACACAGATGGGAGGATAATATTAAAAACGTTATAAAAGAAACAGAGGGTGAGAATGACGACTGGTATCATCTGACTCAGGTATAGGACCGGTGGCAAAGTCTTGTGAACTGGATAATGAATCTTCTCGTTTCCTCGGATAGCTGGGAGATTATTGGCTTCTCAAAGGCTCTACAACGGCGTTGGTTAATACTGTAATAGGTCCCAAGGCTTACCTTGTCCTCAGAGATGGGTCGCAAAGTAGAGGGGTCATCAGGTGAGACGGGTGCGGGGAGGTTTTGCGTGGTAGAAGATGTGCCTCCCGGGAACCTTCGCCCCCATGACTCCTCGATGCGAAGTTGGATGCCGGCCAGACACGCGGCCTCCTCTTTGCTGCACGGCAGATCCCCATCCAAAACCAGCTGCAGCAGCTGGAACAATCAGAGTGCTCGTCAAAACAAACAGTAGACACCACTGACCGTTATAATTGGGAGGTCTTCCATCGATTAGCCCGTTCTTACTGGGCGTTACGTGATATTCCACAGTCTCCAACAAACGTAAATGCAAAACGCCCTGGAAAAAGGGATTAACAAATGCAAGAAATATTTGATGAATATATGTACGGTTAGGAATAAACCGCCAATTTAGTTTGGCAACAACAGATTTAAATGTAAGATTTGAGGTTTTCACAGCGGCGAGTATGAAGATTTCTGTCTTCTGGGTTGTTGCGCTGTGTAGACTGGTCGATGTTTCATCGCCCTGATGACGGAGGCAGTATGACCTCTGAGACGTTTGTTAACATCGACTAGATTACACACCGCAACAACCCAGAAGACAGAAATCTTCAACAGATTTAAATACGAAATAAACACACGTCAAGAAAAATCTGGGAGCCAAAATAAAATCACTATTTGTAATAAGGAGTTAAAGATGTGAAAAAACAAGTAATTTCACATGAGAATAGTAAATTAAAATAATTGACATCGTTATAAATTAAGGAGTTTAAAACGATCTTACATCTGAAACCCTTCCCATCTAAAGTCATGCATCCAGTTGTATTTTTACTTACTACCACAGAAGTCAGAAGGCCGCCAACAGAGCATGTAAGTATGGAATAAATTGTATTGTTCACATCCACTTACAACCTTTTAGGTCCTTATAAATGGCATGTAAAATTGTCTTTTGGACTTCCATACATTGTGCAATTATAAAATTACGGAATTCTCATTTGAATCTCTTCCATTAGAACATCTACAATAAATCTGAATACAAAAAAATGTACACTAAAACTTGTAAAAATACACGAATTGTAGTTCATTGACAAGAAGTGGTCCTCAGTTCTGCATTTGGTTAGAATGAAGTACATAAAGTCTATTTGACAACAGTATTCTTTATTTTTATCTTCTTTACTTCTTTCTTTTTAACATCAAGATAAACTAAGCTAATCCCATGAAAGTTGTTGACTTCAGGAATTAAGCAAGGGGACCCTATTTCGAGAATCGGTTTTTTTACCAAAAAAACCTGGCACATTTCATGCGAGATTCGTCCATTATCCTTTCTCATTCTACAAGTACACTTTCCGGATACTGAAGTTAGCAAACATTAGTGGTGTACAATTTTCCTAACAATAAATTTGTTATTAATACGTTGGCGTATGGAAATCTCATTCTCTCCGACATACTGATAGCTCATTACTGCAGTCCAACAAGGAACAAGGGCTCAATTATTTCCCAGAATAGCTTGGGCAAACAGGGCAAGCAGGAAGTATGAAGCTGTTACAAGTCACACGTCACCTCTGCATAATGCAATATAAAAGCAACGCATCCAGTTGAAGACGTCCAGAAAGCTTATACAGCGGATGGTCACTGACAACACAGACTAAGTATACCTCAAAATGCAAAAGTACATCTTCCTTCAAATTCCCTCCTAACTCATTATTCATAACGAATCTACCACATTTCATTCAATCATTTTAACAGTAGGTAAAACGTCATCGAATAAATGACTGACCAAACAACATCTGATTTAGTTTCAAATTTGTGTACAGCGTATCCTTTGCAAATGTGATGATTACAGAACACAATTTTCAATAATATCTTTTTTTCCTTAAGTTTTGATAACTGGAGTTCAAAGACGAAATTTTAGAATTTCGGTTTTCGGGTATGAACCTAGCCGAATGTTGCTAATTTTTCGACGTTTTGGCAAACACTGCAGTTACCATCTTCACGCTCATGCCCGAAAGCCGAAGTTGTATATTTTAATAATATCTTAACAAACCGAACAAATTACCTCACCACCTTGTCGCTACAATCGAGAAGACGGCCATCTTCGTACTCACCACCATGAAAACCTCATATCTTACTTTTCATAAATTACAATTATTTAAACAAAGTGATCATGAAAATATTTCCCCCTATGAAGGAAGAAGTTACTCAAGAATTTAGATTATTATATGACGAGGCTTTTACAACAGGCATTTATTTTCTGAGCGAGTGTACGATGTCTTTCATCCAAAAGTCTTGAATATAATAAGAACTCTATCTTATACACACTAAATAACATCTTCAGTTGATAAAACACTTGTTTGTAACCCATAAAGAACCACAACGCGCCACTCTGTGAACGGTAGGCAACACAGATGATACAAACCACCAGGCTATATTTTCAACCGTACAGCAATGCTGACGTTCCTTCCGGAAACAAATCAATTTACCGAGCAAAGACTAAATTAACTTTTCTCGCTTCTTTTTAATACAATTATTTCTTCAGTACGCCTCAGGCGTTACACTTTAGTTGCAGGTTAGCAAATATCTTACAATAAATATTTCTTGGAATCAGGTCACTGCTTCGTATCTCGCTCACTAATCCGTCCCGCTCATTTCCTTATGTTATCCTGTAAAACTGAAGCCTTGTTGAGTGCTGATCTCCTATCCTAGGTATCCCAAGGAGAAAAAAAACTATAAAACTACAGTAACAGATTTCTTAGCAATTAATTATTTTCACGCGGCAAAGCTATTTCACGTTTTTATGTAGCCAGAAGGTTCATGAAACCTTGCTATTTTATCTTTCTCGTGTCTCTGTAAGATTCAACGTTTCATCATCGGTATGGTGTCGCAATAAATGGCAGTGAAATAATTATGGAGCTGTTCCTAAAGGCAAAAACAACATCTATCATTAAAATCTCGTGAGTATCTATTTATGGTACATACGTGTATTCATGTTACAGACAAATCGCTGCTAATGTAAGATGTAGAACCACCACAACATAATAGTGGAAGCATGTGCTCAAATGGATTAAATGTTTCCATACCAGTACCTCAAATGTTTTTTGTGATTTTGCTTACGTCATAATTTTCGCCTTCATTTATCAGAAGTACACGTTCGTAATTACAAAGACAATAAATAGCACGGAGAAGACAGTGTAATAAACTAATTAACTCTTTGGATTATAGTCCTTCATGAGCGGGTAATAGTCGCTCAGCTAGTCAAAAAATTAACTACCTTTTATGGAACATAGAATCATTACTGCGTACACAACAGACTTCACAGTGGCCAGTATCCTGAGCCAGATAAATCCAATCAATGCCCTCCTAAAATATTTCAGATCTATTTTAATATTATATTAAAACCTGGTCATCATGTAATCATTTTACTTCTGATCTTCAGACTGCAATTTATATGCTTTGTGATACGGCATAGGGACTAGATATTCGTCATATTCAACTTAATACATCTTGAACATTTAAAATAAAAATGAAAACAATTTTTGTATGATGAACATTTATTTTAGTAGAACTGATAAGTTCGATGATAACCCAGAAGAATAACATCATCTTCATCGCCAAAAGGATCTCAAATCTCACATTTATTCGACAGTATATTGAGTCAAAGCTTCTACAAATCTTTAGAAACTATCAATTTAAGACTCGTTTTAATATTATTCTCCCACAAGTAATACATCAACCATATACCCCTTCGAATACCCACAAAATAACGTGTTAGGTAGAGCACAACCCGAAATTTCATTAGACTATCTTCTTTTTGAGACAAAAAAGTGTCAACACATGGGACAGACTACGTGGCGTGTCGTGTCAAGTCAAAATGGTGGATTGATTTGTGTAGTTAATACCAACCATTCTCGTAGAAGGAGTCTCTGTTTATTTGCTCCACAAATCACCGAGAACTTGTCAAGACTACCGTCGTCCTCTGCTGCTTGTTAACACGTCCTGTATGAAATACATAAGAATGGGACCGTACTGTAAGTCTGTCTGTAAGTTTACTACCATAACCTAAACTATATCCGAAATTAAGAAATCACAAATAAATTTAATCTTTCAGAATCTTAATGACAGCTGAGTTTCTCGCGTTATTCGTTGTAATTCCTAACACTGACGATCATGGACAGTCTGTCTCCGAAAAGCTGGTTTTTAATGCAACACTGCCGAGGCTGATCGCAAGAGATAATTTGAAAGCGTAATGAATATTATCATTCCAGTTGAGAAGTTTTCTTCGCTAATATTTCCAGAACTATTCTGTGCCTCGTTCAGTTTATCACCAACAAAATACTTGGATTCTAGACGCTGAAGTTGGCTTCTGTCTAAAGTCGAGGTAAAAATGAAAGGATACAACATTTTTCAACTCCTATTCTACAACGGCGTATTAATTGACCAAGAACCCCCATTTCTGTATTCACGATCATAAAACTTCGTATACATGCTTCCAAAACGTCACGCGTATTCTAAACTAACAGACGTATGAAAATGTCCAAGAATATACACCAGTTTACTTTCTATTCTCATTTAACTCGAGTGTTGTTAAAAGATGAGCTTTGTTTGGCGATAGAAGCGAAATTACTAACGAATTTAGAGGACAAACAGATGCCACAACATAAACATACGTCAAACAAACACTGAACTGTAGTTTGCGGAGTCAGCTAATTGTTTCTGTCGAGTCCCTGGTGAATGGGTCCACCGTCAGTAGAGGTAACAGCGTTATTTACCATCCAAATCTGCAAACGTCATCTCTTTCAAATTTTGTGCCAGCAGAAAAGAAACAAAGAGTTAAAGACAATAATTCAAATTTATAAAAAACTACAACTTGACAACTACTGCGGTCAAATTAGACTGACGTAAATCTATAGTATGTAGTGCTATTTGCCAGTCTTTAAACTCTTATTTAGCGATAACGCATCAACTACTATAAATGCTTCTAAGCGTTAAATAAAGTGATCACATGATGAATATATCTGGTATATATTATAACTATAAATACACGATTGTATTTCCCGTGCACTATCATGTTCAGTGTCAGATAATATTTTATGTATAAAACAGAAGAACGTCGAATATATTGGATAAATATAAAACAATCTTCATCAGGGATTTTCTGCGGCTTCAAGACATTTTCATATTTTAATATGATATTTGTGATG